CTTCCAAGCTGGGTAACGTCCCAGACACTTCATAGTTTCCGACTTAACACCAGGCAACAAATCTAAGTCCCAGGTGCATTCACTAGTTGAGCTATTCCTTACAAAAGCTGTCCTGGAACCCTTCCCAGAATTTTTAGCTTATATTTCATTGGCCAGAACTTGGTCACTTGGCCACTTCTCAAGGCAGAGAGGTTTGAGGACACATGTGAGTTTTCCAGCTGCACATCTTGCCACAGCAGGGGAGGAGGTGAGAGTGGATGTTGGTCAAGCATCTCGCAGTGCTCTGTCCTGGGACGTTTGTAAGCCTGCTCTTACACTGTTGTCTTTCCCAAGTTTTCATCATTTCTCATTAATGGAGAAACTCGTTTCCAAGTTCCAAGCAACTTACAGTTGTGGCGGGATGAGAAGAAAATTGGATGTGGATTTGGGAGACCTAGGGGGAATCCCAGTTTCCCTGCTTTCTAATGGTATGCCCCTCGGTAGGCTTCGATCTTGCTGGGTCTCCGCTCCTGCAAACTGGAATTGAAGTGGTGACCGGGAGGATATATGGGCTGATATATGTGACGATTCTTAGGAAATGTGAGTCCTGGCTGAGAGAGTGGAAGAGCAAAGGGCAGGTCCAACACTTGTCAGGCAGCAAGGAGCCAAGTCCCCTCCCAGAACAAAGCAAGAGCCTGCTCCAGTGACGTGGTATATCCAAGTCCACAGAACAGGACCTCACATCCTGACAGCCAACAATACCCATGATTGCTGAACTGTACAGGCCATTTACAATTATTACCACTTATAGTGGTAATAACCTCTTATAGTCTCGAGATCATGGAACATGAGTCTAGGCTTTTACTTAATTCTGCTTCAGTGGAGATAATTGGGTTGGCATGATTTCCTATTTGCATGAGCAAAAGTACCTTTGAACTTGGCACAGATGCTTTCATGCACGCGGAGCATGAAATGCTTGGCACAGGCCAGGGGAAGGAAAAAGACATGACTGAGAAAGCAGCATCCAGTCCTTAGGACAGACATCTGTTAGGATTGTGCACTCATCTCAGATGGTCAGAGAGCAGCACCTGAAGAGACATCAGCTACGGAACTATTTGTACTCTTCCCCAATGTATTCTGCAGGTTTCTCAAAAGTTATGGAGTAAAACCAGGTATCAGGATGTTATAATGCATCTCTGACCTGCATTAATTATGCACCATTGATTGCTCTTCCAAATAAATTCAGCAATGGAGGAATTTATTTAGAACAGTAGCAAAGAATCCACAGAAGAAACTTCCAGCATTGAAAAAGGCTTGGTTGTCTTTCCCTGAGTTTTTATGAATGATTTCTAAAGTTGTTTACTGATGAATTAGATCACGTCTGAATCAAAACCACTCTCCTCTTATTTTGTACTCCCAGTGGGAGCAATGTGCCCCTTCTCAGGACTCAGTCTGTCCCTTCTGGACTTCAAAGCTTTTCTCTCTGGGCAGCTATTTTGGATAATGTGCCCTGACTCCTAGCCAATCAATTTTTATGGGGTTTTTTGGCAATTTTTTTTTATTATGACATAATTCACAGAGCATTAAACTCACCCTCTCAAGTATAGAATTCAGTATTCTTATTATACTACAAATTTGTGCAACCATCACCTCTGTCTAATTCCAGAACATGTAAATCATCCCCCAAAGAAACCCTGTCCTCATTAGCAGCCATTCCTTATTTCCCTCTCACCCAGCTCCTTGCAGCCACTAATTTCCTTTCTGTCTCTATAGATTTGCCTGTTCTGGACATTTCATATAAAGAGAACCATACAAGACGTGGACTTTTGTGTCTGGCTTCTTTCAGTTAGCAGAATGTTTCCAAGTTTCATCCATGCCATATTACATTCATCCATGCTATAGTATTTCTTTGATGGCCGAATAATATTCCACTGTACGGATATACCACATTTGGTTTATCCATTAATCACATGGTGAACATTTGGGTTATTTCCATTTTGGGGCTATTATGAATAAGGCTGCTATGAACATTTATGTTCAAGATTTTGTAGGAAGATATGTTTTCGATTCTCTTGGGCATGCACCAAGGAATGGAATTGCTGAGTCATCTGGTAACTTTTTAACATTCTGAGGAAGTGCCAAATTGTTTTCCAAAGTGGATATTCCAGTTTACATTCCCACCAGCAATGGATCTCGGTGCGTGTATGAGGGTTCCAATCATTCCACATCTTCACCAACAGAATCTTTCTGATGTCAGCCATCCCAGTAGGTATGAAGTGGTATCTCATACTGGTTTTGATGTGCATTTCCCTAATGGCTAATGATGTTGAGTATCTTTTTATGTGCTTCCTGGCCATTCATAGCTCTTCTTTGGAGAGATGTCTATTTAAGTCCTTTGCCCATTTTTAAATTGCATTGTCTTTTTATTATTGAGTTGTAGGAGCTTCTTATATATGCTGGATACTTGACTCTTATCAGATTTATGATTTGCAAATCTGTTCTCCTTTTTTTTTAAAGATTTTATTTATTTATTTATTTATTTAGTTTAGCGAGAGAACACGCATGCATGCATGAGCGGGGGGAGGAGCAGAGGGGGAAGGAGAGGAAGAGGGAAAGAATCTCAAGCAGATTCCATGCTGAACCCATGTGGGGCTGGATCCCACAACTCTGAACTCAAGACCTGAGCCGAAACCAAGAGTCAGACGCTTAACCAACTTAGCCACCCAGGCGCCCCTATGTTCTCCTATCCTATAGATTGTCTTTTCACTTACTTAATAGTTTCCTCTGATGAACAAAGCTTTAATTTTTTATGAAGCCCAATTTGTCTATTTTTTCTTTTGTTGCATTTGATTTTGGTGCCATATCTAAGAAAACATTGCCTAATCCAAGGTCATGAAGATTTCCATTCTTTTCTTCTAAGAGTTTTATAGTTTTAGTTCTTACATTTACATCTTTGGTCCATTTTGAGGTAAATTTTGCATATGGTGTGACATAGGGGTCCATATTCACTCATTTGCATGTAGATATCTAGTTATCTCATCATCATTTGCTTAGGGACTATTCTTTCTCCATTGAAGAATCTTGGCACCCTTGTTAAAAATCAATTGACCATACATACATGGGTTTATTTCTGGACTATCAATTCTATTCCATGGATCTGTGTGTTTATTCTGATATCAGCACCACACTGTCCTGACTACTACAGCTTTGAACTAGGTTTTAAACTCAGGAAGTGTAAGTCTTCCACTTGTAATTTCTTGTCAAGATTGTTTTGGTTATTCTGAGTCCCTTGCATTTCCATATAAATTTTAGGATCAAGCTGTTTCTGAAAAAAAAAAAAAAAAGGTAGTTGGAATGATACTAGTCAGTTTTTTCTTGATAATTTGAGACTAATTATTTGAAACCCTTAGTTACAGAGTCAGGAACTCAGAGTAATGAGGGTGATTCAGAGTATGTGAGCTTAAATACCACCCCATCTCCTCAAGCAACCACCACACACATTAAGTAAAATAATGGATTATCAGTTTAGGAAGTCAAAATGCTCAGAGAGACCAGGCGTGTCCTGTCTCTGAATGCCATCTTTTCTCCCCTTTGCCTTGCTCCCTTGCCCCACCAGAACTCCAGAAAAAGCCTGAGCACCGGCTTTTTAATAAATACATAAAAAGCAATTTTTAATCTTATAAAAACTCAATGTTGGTCCAGTGTAAAAGTCTCAGGGAACTCCACATTCCTACTATTCCTGCTCAGCACTCCGAATTCTGTCCCCCTCATAGGCCGGCCGTGCAGAAGTTTTTATTTTCCAGAGCCGCATTGTTCTGAATGTCTTGGGCGGGGATTCCTAACAAATTAAACCTCTTCTTCTCCGAGCCTTTTGCTCCTCTCCTTTCTGAGGGCGTCAGAAATGAAGTCCTGAGGCCTCTGTAAGTCTGGCAAGGGGCCTGAGGGGAGAACTCCGTGGAAGGTACTTTTGTCCTTGTGGGGTTTTTGAGATACCATCCTGGTTGGTCATGAGCATTGTAACATATACGGCCGCGTCTTAGGGCATTTTTGCCAAGTGCCTCAGCTTCTCCGGCCTTTGAGTGACAAAGTATACCGGATACAAGGAGTGGATACCCTTTGGGGGTCCTGCCTGGCCTGGATCCCTCTCTGGGAATGGCTCCCTGCCCTCTGCGTGAAGTCCACCACGACAGTCCGTTAGCGGAACAGTGACCAGTCAGACTCTCTCTTTCTGGAATCTGAGATCCATCCAGACTCGAGTCAGTCAATGGCAGGTATGTGGACTTGGGTGGATATGTCCAATGAGCACATGTGAGCCGAAGTCTGGAGAGAGGTAACTTGAATAAGCAGAGACCACAGGTTTAGGAGAATGTCATAAACAGGAGGAAGAAAGGAGGAGGGCAGTCATCCACATTCTCTGTCCCTATGAGGCCCAGCTACAGGGACCAGGCCCAGCACAGAGGAGCAGACCAACCCTTAGCTGACATCCGTCCAGCTCCTCAAACTTTGCCTCCTAAGTGAGGTGGGACCCAGGAGGATGAATGTGAATCCAGGGGCATTTGCCATGTCTGGAGGACATTTTTTCAAGTGTCTTGCTTCTTTAAAAATAAATAAATAAACTGGGGAGGCTTTTTACTCTAGAATAGTTCTGTACTTAATAAAAAGTGTTTTCCTACAAAGAACTGTTGAGCTAAAACAATGCCATGTATCCCTGTGGATTCCGAATTCCTGATGCACTAGCCCTAGTCTGAGGAACAAGGAGTTTGTCCAGACGTCTGATTTTGCAGGTGAGAAGCACGAAGCCCAAAGAAAAGGGGTTCTTCTTTCCATCTTGTCCTGCCTTCTAATCGGAAAAAATAAGGTTCCAGGGCGGCAGTGAAGATTGGGAGACTGACTGTCAGTGATTTGCCAGGTGCCTTAAAAACATGCCAAGTGAGGCTACAGGGCTGCGCTCACACTGGCCTTCCCTCCGGCGCCCTCCCGCACCTCTTACCGCGCCGCTGCCTTCCGCGCTCGGCCTCACTCCCCCGCGGCCCTTCGCCCTCTCCCGGCGGAAGCCTGACCCTGCAGCCCAGGCCAGCGCGCACCGCCCGCGCCGCGGACCCGGTAACCGG